GATTCTGGGTTCCAAATTTTAGGAAGGATATTGATAATCTGAAGATTCACAAGAAGGAATACAGGATGATGGATAAAGGGGCTCAAGTTATGGCATATGAGGATCAGTTGAAGAAACTAAGAGTGTTTAGCCCAGAGAAGAGAAGACTTATTGAGGTGGTGATGACTGTTTTTAGATATTTGTAAGGCTGTCCCATGGAAGAGGGTTTAGATCTGTTTTGCTTAGTTAACCCTAGAAGGCAGAACTTTTGCACCTACATGGCACAGCGGATATAGTTCTGGGCCTGAGTTCATTCAAATCCGGCCTCAGACACTTATTAACTCCTGGGCAAGTCACTTAACCCTGTCTGCCTCAGTTTTCTCATCTGTAAAATGAGTTGGAGAAAAAAATGGCAAACCATTCTGGTATCTTTGCCAAGTAAACCCCCAAATGGGGTCACAGAGGGTCAAAAACAACTGAAGCAGTGTAACAACAACAGCAAAGATGGCAGCACCAGGAGCAGTGTGTGGAAGCTTCACAGTGCTGATTTAAGCTTGATGTAGAGTTTCCACAAATGGAATGGGCTGCCTTCAAAGGCAATGATTTCCCCTTCATTGAAGATCTTTGAGAAAGAGACTATCACTACTATCAGGTGTATAATATCAGTTTTTCATGTATGTAGGGAACCTGTGTGACCACTGCAAATGGGTAGCCAGACAAACTCCTATTACTAATATCGCATGCCTATTCTATTAATGTTCTGTGGTGATGTCACCATGGTGCTCTACTGGTCTCTTTTCTGTCAGATGTATTGTCTCTCTCGGATGCATCATTTCTATTGGGTATGCCATTTCTATACTTGGAGTAATGTCTCTGTTGGGTGTCCTATTGACCCTGCTGGTGTCTCTGTTGGTCTCATGCTAGCTTAGTTTCTCTCTGCTGCCAGCTTCATCTCTTCAGAACCACCTGACTGCAGGTGCAATGACTAGAAAGCCTCTCCCTGATAAGAGCAGACTGACAACTTTTTAGTAAAAGTTAAGCTTATGAGTCACCATATTCCATTAAGAGACAATCAAACCCAAACCGGAGTTTTGGGCAGAAGATTGTCAGAACGCTCCCAGTCAAGAGTTAAGTCTGTTTTTTGGACTTTCTGTGTCTAGTGCTAGATTGAAGTCTGATTGTTCTAGACAACTATATAATTTAGGATTGGCAATTTCTTATAACTCCAGTTTAACCTTTTGTGGTAATCCTGTGCCCTCAGAATTTATAGCAAGTGGCATTGTCAAAGGTATGTGTAAGATGGAACTACATAGCCTACTTCACTCCAAAAATACTCTTAGAGCTGACATGCAAAGAACCTTTACAAACACAAAAACTAAGCTAAGAGGGAAAGGTCATTCATTGTTCTTCACTATTCTGGTTCACACAACTTACTTCCACATGCAAATATGAAACAAAAGAGGAACAGGATATATGTAAGATTTTGAGAAAGGATTGGAAAAAGGGACAAAACCAGTGCCTAGAAAAACATAGTGTAGATGTGCAATGAAGGGAGAAAGATACATATCTTCTAGATTTTGAATCTCACATCTCAAAATGGGTATAACACCTGTACTATTTACTTTACAGAGTTTCTGGGATAGCAACATAGGTATTGTATGTAAAGGTCTTGGTGAATGGATAAATGCTATAGAAATATCAACTGTGCTTGTAATTATTATTATTATTATTGAATTATCCTGATTTTTGAGGCAATTGGAACCCTGAATTTATCTGTTGTTTTAAAATTTTTATTTAGTTTCAGGGAAAGTGTATGTTTCATTGGCTAAGTGATTATGTAGGCATTGCCATGTTTTCCCCCAAAGACCTAGAGCTCATGGGTCTTTCGTAGGTATGCCCAGACTGTGGACTGGATATATGAATACATAAGGCAGCTAGACGACTCGATGGATAGAGTTCTGGGCCTGGAGATAAGAAGACCTGAATTCAACTCCAACCTCAGACATTTACTAGCTGTGTGATCCTGGGCAAGTCATTCAACCTTTGTCTGCCTTAGTTTCTTCAGCTGTAGAGTGGGAATGATAACAATAGCACTTATTTTGCAGGGTTGTTGTGAGGGTCAACTGAGATATTTGTCAAAAGCACTTAGCACAGTGGCTGGCACATAGTAGGCATTATTCTGGCTCACACAACTTACTTCCACATGCAAATATGAAACAAAAGAGGAACATGATATATGTAAGATGTTTATTTCCTTCCTCCCTTCATTGCACACCTGCACTATCTTTCTCTCTTTCTTTCTTTTTTTAGGCAATTGGGGTTAAGTGACTTGCCCAGGGTCCTACAGCTAGTAAGTGTCAAGTGTTTGGTCTGAGGCCAGATTTGAACTCAGGTCCTCCTGACTTCAGGGTCAGTGCTCTATCCACTGCGCCACCTAGCTGCCCCTGCTATCTTTTTCTAGGTAGTGGTTTTGTCCCTTCTTCCAATCCTTTCTCAAAATCTTATATACATTATGTTATAAAATTATATACATCTATATATGCATATACACATATAGACATATAATGTATATACATTATATACATCTTATATATATGTTCCTCATTTGTTTCAGTAGGGCTTATAACATTAGTCAATATTTATTATCTCCCTACCCGTGACAACATAGATAGAAAGCCAAGAAAACTCCCATCTGAGTAGGAACTTACTCTATCCCATTACCTTTAGGTCTTTCCTGTAGTGATGGGGCTGCCTGGGATGGAGAGCTGCCCTGGTGTGGAGGTGATTGCCCCTGAGGCACCTCACAGGCATCTACAGAGTTAGAGGTCCCAAGTCTAAGAATAGACTCTCTGAAGAACTTCTCTGAACTTCTTTTCTCTAACTGCTTCAGACTGAAGACCACTGTATTGAGGTAGGGGACCTGGCTATAACCCTCCTATTCCCCCCATGCTCCTGTTGTTTGACGCTTGGCTTCCCGGCTTTGAGACTCCCTTGTGTGTATCAAAATGTAACATAATAAAAAGTGTAATATAATGAAGTGTCTCTGACTTTATACTTGACTGGTCTGATTCTTTTCTGAGCCCATTTTAAGTCCCTCCCTTGCTATTAAGGACTTGAGTAAACACCCACAAGCCCTCAGATGCATCCTGATTGACTGAGAGAAGGGCTAGGATTGCAGAATCTATAAACTAGCTTAAGCCAGGGCACCCTTGTGGGAAAATCCACAGATTGGCTTGGAGTGGGGCAGATGCAACTGTCCTGCCAGGGATATGCAGGAATGGATGAGGATCATGATGGGTAAAACTAGGACCAGAAGATAGATTTGCTTCAGACATTAAGGCTATTTAAAGATCCTGTGTGACCTTGGCAAGGCACTTAAACTCTCTGGGCCTCAGTTTCCTGATCTGTAAAATGTGAGGTTACACTAGCCAATCTCTAAAGTCCCTTATATCTCTAAATTATATAATTCTGTGATTCATGACCTCATTCATCCATTCAATATTTTAAAATACTATCTGTAGATAGAGACAGTGCTGTGGTAGGCATGGCCTAAATGGAGATTATACTCTGGTAGGGCACTAAGATACAAACTCTGCTAAAGGCCGACTCCCTATATAGGTGGAGAGATTGTCAAAGGCATTACAATATAATAAATAATAATAGTTAGTATATGTATATATTAGCTATTATTATATAGCACTGTTATATTTTAGCATTATAGTATACATGGTGCTCTATTATATAATAATAATTATATGTAACACTTCACAAATATTTCATTTTAACCTTAAGGTAGATGCTGTTATTATCATCTCCATTTTACAGATGAGAACACTGAGGCAAAGGGATGTCAAATGACTTGCCCAGGGTCACGCAGTTAGTAAGAGTCCAAGGCTGAATTTGAACTCCAGTCTTCCTAACTCTCGGTCCAGGACTTTATCCATTACACCATCTAAGCTGCCTCTTTTTGAGCCTTGCAAAACAAGAGCTCTGTGTCATTCCCAAATGTCCTTGTTCCTGTTATGATTAGTCATAGGTCCCTCCCTGCCTTTCAGAACTCAGGGAATGGGGGGAAAGACTTAACCTCTGAGCACACGTTCGTTAGTGGGCTGGTTACAGTCCTTTATTCCTGAAAAGAACTAAAGTGACATTATTATGTTAGAGTCAAGTTACAGTATGTCTGACTGTGGCTGATCAGACCACTCCAAGAATGCTCTACCACAGGTTTGGCACAGGTACTCTATGTGAACATTTGGGGTGGATTCTCTAAATCTGTGCATCTTGCATTTCTTTTGAGCTACCTCAATTCTGTTTTGCTCATAGAGCATAACACCTTCTCTGATGAAGGCGCACCATGCTGAGCAGTCCTGTGCCAGTGCCTCCCATGTCACGCAATCATTTCCAAAGTTCTTCAGAGAGACCTTGAGAATGTGCTTGTATCACTTCTTCTGACCACCACGTCAGTCCTCACCTTGTGTGAGTTCTCCATAAAATAGTCTTTTAGGCAAGTATACATTTGGCATTCCAGCAGTGTGACCAGGCCATCAGAGCTGAGCTCTCTGAAGTAGAGTTTGAACGCTTGGCAATTTAGTTCAAGAAAGGACCTCAGTGTCTGGTATCTTATCCTGCCAGGTGATCTTCAGAATCTTCCTAAAACAATTCAAATGGAAGCAATGCTTTACTGGCATGGTGCTGGTATACTGTCCAGGTTTCATAAGCATACCCCAATGAGGTCAGCACAATGGCTCTGTAGGTCTTCAGTTTGGTGGTCAGCTTAATCCCTCTTCTCTCCTATATTTCCTTCGGAGCCTCCCAAACACTTTTGGGAGCTTTGACAATGCATTCTCAACCTTATTATCAATGTGTACATCCCTAGAAAGTATACTGCCAAGGTGATAATGTATGTTTCCTCCTTCCTTCTTTCATTATCCCTGCCCCTAGAGGAGGGCTGGACTCCCTTCCTTTTTCTACTTCCTGATTTTGGAGGATAAGTAGGGTGGCTGACTAAGGGGGGAGAGAGAGCAGAAGAAACTGGCTATGGTAAGGACACTGCTCCCTTCCTAACCTCTGGCAGCCCGTAGCTCCCCTGCTATACCCAGAAAGGTGCCACACTGAAGGTCTCTGCTCCATTTATCATCCTGGAATCCAGATGCTCCTCTCTTCACCTTTTGCTGATTTCCATCCTCTCCTCTCTCTGTTCTCCCTCTAGGAGCTGTTTCTGTTGTTCATGACTCTTCCCCTTCTGGGGACTTCATTCCCTATGCCCCAAGGTGAGTCATTTACCCTTCTACCTACTCCCTGAAGTCCCTGTTTCTATCTCTTACTACCACATAGAATCATGATAGTAAGTAGCCCATGAGAGACGTTTGAGAATGGTACAGTTGAATTCTGGGGAGGGAGAAAGAGTTTAGTTGCTAGTAGACTGGACTTGCTGAGGTCCTCTTGGGTGGTAGCATGGGTAGCAGCCTCTGGTATTAGCTGTGTGGACCTAAGGACTTAATCTCTCTCAGCCTTGCTTACCTCATATACAAAATAGGGATAATAACAACCCTTGTCTCTCTGCTGTCAGGTGGGGCATTTGTGAACTTCACAGCAAGCCCTCAGAGTACTGTAGGATTAAGGTCATGGGAAAGAGCTGGAAGAGACAGACCTTAGAGGCCATTCCACCCAACCCTTCATTTTGTAAATAAAGAAACAGAGGCACACGGTTAAATGCCCAGGTTCACAAAGAGTGGTAGAGAGACCACCCAGCTTCCTTGACTCCAAAAGCCAGTCCTCTTTCCAATGTGCCACGTCACCTTATGGAAATGTCTAACATTAATATATGTCTGTTATTAGTGTTGAGTGGCTAGGTGATGCCATAGTGCACAGAGCACTGGGTCTGAAGTCAGGAATGCTCATCTTCCTGGTTCAAATCTGTCTTCAGACACCTACTAGCTATGTGCCCCAAATGAGCTGGAGAAGGGAATGGCAAACCACTGCAGTATCTTTGCCAAGAAAACCCCAAATGGGATCACAAAGATTCAGACACAACTGAGCAACAACACCAAATTATACTCGTTATTACTATTTATAATAAAAATCTGTCTGTGAGCTAGACCCCAGTATAAAATCTGAGGCTATGGAAGAGTGACTTGGGGAAAAAATGAAAGAGAGTGGTCACTGAACCTGATATTCAAAGTCCAAAGAAGAGAAATAAATGTTTGGGTCCACAGGAGTGCAGTATCTTTTTCCACCACCGTATGTCCCTTGGAGAGCAAGGGCTGGCATTGTTGGGGGTGAGGAAGCCCCCAAAAAGGAGTGGCCATGGCAGGTCAGCCTGAGGAAGCAGGAGGATGAGAGAGAAGATGCATTATGGATGCATATCTGTGGCGGCTCGCTCATCCATCCCGAGTGGATATTGACTGCAGCATCCTGCTTTCTTGAGTAAGTCAGTCATCTGCTTGTGGTTCATTGTTAATGGAAGCAGTGCAGGGTGGGCTGGGAGGTGAGAGAAGTGGAGCAAGATGGGATTTGGGAGACCTGGGTTTTGAGACCAGGCTCTTACTTACTCACTAAAAGCAAGGTCTTTCTACTCTCTGAGACTCAGTTACTTTCCTTGTAAAATGGGGATAATAATAATAAACTCTGTCCTGGGTTTTTCATTTGGGTGTTAGAAATGAAATCATTTAGAGTTCTATACTGCTGCATGGTACGGTTATTATTCAATAGGAACTACGTGTGTGTGTGTGTGTGTGTGTGTGTGTGTGTATGGAGATGGGAAGGAGGGAAAGAAAGAGAGAGGGAAAGAGAGAGAGACAGATAGTGAGAGAGAGAGATAGATAGATAGAGAGAGAGAGAGAGAGAGAGAGAGAGAGAGAGAGAGAGAGAGAAGCAGACATAGAAAGAGAGCCATGGAGTATTTTGCTTTTGTTGCAGAGGAGAGAGGAGGTAGGATAATGAGTAAATCCTAGAAGGCTCAAGTTCCCATGTCCATGTTTGGGAGCTACTGCAGGCTTTGGACCAAGTGCTAGGGTTGTGTCCTGAGGCTGCTGTACTCAGCCAGAGCCCTGCAACCTGAGCCCCAGGTTATCCCTATGGAATGTTCTTCTCCTGCTTCCCACAGTATGCGTGAGGAGCCTTCAAACTACAGGGTCCAGCTAAGGCAGCAACATCTGTACTATGAAGATGCCTTGCGTCCCCTCTCCAAGATTGTAGTCCACTCCAGCTTCACCTCTGAGACTAGAGGTGCTGATATCGCCCTCCTAAAGTTGAAGGAACCTGTCCAGATTTCCAGCCAAGTCCAGCCCATCCAGCTTCCTGCCACCTCACAGAACTTCTCCAACACCGAGTGCTGGGTGACTGGCTGGGGGGACATCTATTATCAAGGTGAACATTCTCTACGGGAGGGATGCTGCTTCCTATGGTTCTTGGATTTCCCTTTTCTGGGAGCTGGTCCAGGGCTAATATGGGGAATGCTAAGGCCAAGGAAGAAGGGAGCAGAAAAATTGGGGGAAAGACATTTCTTCCCCTTCTTTACCAAGATGATTTGCCTTGGGCCTTATGGCTTTAGGAGATTCTGGGATCCCCTGGTGCTGAACCTAAGTTTAGTGGGTTGGTTTTGGTCATCTGATATCCAAACAGTGGTATAAGCCTCTAGGAATACAAACCCTATGCAAGCCCATAGGAAAGGCACCAGGATTAGAAATCAACAAAAAATAATCAGGCAATCAATGGAACATTTGTCAAGTACTTACTATGTGCCAGGCACTGTGCTAAGCACTAGGGATACAACAAGAGGCAAAAACGAAAACAAAACCTATAGTCAGGGCCCTGAAGGAACTCCCATTCTAACAGGGGAGACAATGTGCAGAGTATTATTTCTATCAAAGATATATTCAGGGTACATGTGAGGTAATTTAGAGTGAAGGCACCAGTAGTGAGCATTTGGGAGGGAGGACATCTCTCTTTCTCTCTCTCTTTTTTTTTTTTTTAGGCAATTGGGGTTAAGTGACTTGCCCAGAGTCACACAGCTAGTAAGTGTCAAATGTTTGGTCTGAGGCCAGATTTGAACTCAGGTCCACCTGACTTCAGGGCCAGTGCTCTATTCCACTGTACCACCTAGCTGCCCCGAGGGAGGGCATCTCTTGCAGGCCTCTTGCATAACATAGGATTTGAGCTGAGTCTTGAAGGAAGCTAGGGCAGCCAGGAGGTAGAGCCAAGGAGGGAGAATGTTCTACCCGTGGGGGACAGTCCATGAAAAGGCACAGAGTCTGATGAGGTGCTCTCAAGAGCACCAAGGCATCCCGGGAGGTTTGAGTGGGATGGCTTTTTCCAAAGAATAGCGTCTCTGCTGACCCACCAACAGCAGCTACACTGGGGGAGAGCCAATTAATGGGGAGAGGCAATCTCTAATCAATCAATCAATCAATCAATCAATCACCCAATGTGAAGCCATTACTATGTGCAAGATACTGAGCTAAGCTTTGGAGAATACAAAGACTGAGTAAAAATTGTCCCTGCCTTCAAGAAGCTTACATTCTAGTGAGGGAGGGAACATGTATAGTAGATGCGTATATAATGGGGGAGACAACATGTATATTAAATGTACATTAAATATTTATATACATCTATACATACATACATATATACACATGTAAATACACAAGCTAATTTTTTTGGGGTGGTATTGTCATGGAGGGGGAATCAGATAGGATTTCTCAAGCTTCTTGAGGGTAGGGGCCATCTTGTTTTTGTCTCTGTCTCTGCAGCCTAGCAAAGGGTCTGACAGAAAGTAGAGATTAGTGAATGTGTCTTGTTATTATACTCTGTGTGTAGCCAACCACTGCCCAGTAGTGTGTGCATATGTGTGAATAGAACACTGTACTGGATGGGCTCCTGGGTTCAAATGCCAGTTCTGCTACTTCTTACCCGTGTCATCTGTGACAGATCACTTTCCTTCTCTGTGATTTACTCTCTTTCTTAGTAAAAAGAGAGTTGGACTAAAGTTAGCAGTTCTGACTTTTCAGTCTCAGGGTTCCTTCACACTCTTAAAAATTATTAAGGGCTCCACACAAATAGATTTTTAGAGGTTATGTCTTTTGATACTTACTATATTAGAAGTTAAAATGTCTTTGTAGTATTATGAAAATAGCTTTGACCTTGAGGATCTTCTGAAAGGGTCCCTGGACCATGCTCTGGGAACCCCTGGACTAGATGATCCCTAATGCTTATTTTAAGTAATAAGTCTATATTCCTATGAGCCTATGATTCCCTTTACAGAGAGTCTGCTCCCTCCATTCGCCTTGAGGCAAGTGCAGGTACCCGTTTGGGACAATCGTCACTGTGACCAGCTTTACCATGAGGTTTCTACAGTTGCTAAGTCTGTAAGAATAATTCCTGAGGACATGATATGTGCTGGCGATGGCGACAATGGTATCTGTGAGGTAAGTTCTTTCTCTGTTCTCACTGATTCCTCACAGGTCCCCAGATTGCATTCCAGAATTCCCCTCTCCTTGGGCATCTCCTGGTTTGTTTGTTTTTGTTTGTTTTTGTTTTTGGCCAAGCCAGAACCTTCTGTTCTGTCTTTCAGGGGGACTCCGGAGGACCTCTTGTGTGTAAGGTTGAAAACTCTTGGCTTCAGGCTGGGGTGGCAAGCTGGGTAGAGGAGTGTGGCAAAATTTCTACACACCCTGGAGTCTACACAAGTGTCTCAAAATATTTGGATTGGATCCAGAAGAACATTCAGTGATCTTTTGGCTCAATTTCTCTTCACTCCCTTCCTAGCCCCAGGCTCTGTATTTACTGTAAAGCCAATCAAAACCTCCTCTATCTTTTCCTATTCCTCCTGATCCATCCCAAACTCTTGGCTGGGAGTTAGGACACCTAGGTTCTAGTTCTCTGCCTTGCCACTGGTTCCATGTATGACCTCATGCAAATCCCTTCCTTGGTGTGGCCCCCAGCTTCCTCCTCTATAAACTAGGTTGTGGGGGTTTGGGCTCTGACATTATGTGGTTTGGTGGGCTCATTCAACTTGAACATAGGGGAAATTTTTTTTTTTTGCAGGGGAGTAATTTTTTGGGCAAGGAAGGAGAGGGGGAATTTGGTTGGTCTACATGATGTTATGCATATCTCATTAAACTATCTGCAAAATCTTCCTGCTCTGGAACCCATATATTTTCTTTGAATTGGCTCCCGCTTTGGCTAAGATAGCCACAAAGAGGCAAATGTTTAGGAAGTTACTGAGACTAATCAAGGCAACATTCAGAGAGGAATTTTTTTGCTTGATATAGCCTGACAGTTCATTAGTGGGAGAGACTTTTTGGGGAGGAGATGAGAGCCGTGAACATGGTCCTCCTGGCCATAGGGAACCCTTCTCCAGTCCAAAGAGGGGAAACTGCCCAAATCTGATCCAATTTCTCAGTGGCATGCCATGGAAAGACCCTTGGCCTGGGAGACAATATTCTTTGGTCCTAGTGCTAGCTATGCCCCTGTCTTTATCTGCAACCTGGCACAAGGATCGTCCATTCTCAGGGCCTCAATATCCTCCTCTGTAAAATTAGTGGATGAGACTGAAGAGGCTGTGGATCTCTGGGTACATTCTTGCTGTTCTGCTTGACTCCACCAGGAGGAGACTGCAGCCCGTGGTCAGATAGATGTCTTTTTTAAGAGAGAGACTCAGGGTGCTTTTCCAAATAGTTCTGTGGCTTCTTTAGTCCTGAGGCCTCTAAAATGGGATTGAGCTAAAAATTTCCTGACTCAGCCCCCATTTGCTCTAGGGTTAGAGGAGGTGGGATTTTTTTTTTTTTTGGGAGGACCATAGATCATAGGGTTCTTTTCTGGGAGGGATGAATTGGGAAGGGTTGGCTGAAAGTCAGGCAGCTAGACTAGATGATAGCTCCAGCCTCCAATACCAGCCAAAGACTGAGGGAATAATTGTGGATTATTCAGGCCTTTTACTTAAGGACCTCCTGACCCCCTCCTCCAGGAAGCCTTCCCTTAGCATGCCAGCCCACAGTGAGCTTTTATTCTTCTAGTGCCATGCACTGTGTTCTTCCAGCAATGGGTGAGTGAGCGCATGTGTTTCTAAGCAAAGATCCACGGTGCATTTCTAGCTTTGTGGGAGGTGCCCCTTTATGGCAAAAGTCAAAGCCCCATTATCTCGTCAAATGAATTAGGGGAACTCATCAAACTGAGCAGCTCCATTTGAATCCCAGTGGCCTTCATCAAAGCCTGGTTTTCCAATGCTGCATTTCAAGAAATCATAAATGAAACTACACAGGGCAAAGAAGTTAATTATCCAACTTTTAAAAAAATGATAAAATAAAAAAGTAGGGAAGAGAAAAAGGAAAAAAAAGAAATCTATCCCCTAAATCCCAAAATATTTTGTGACGTTTCAGTGATCAAAACTTATATTCCTTTGGGCAGAGCACCCACAGGAAAGGGTATGATTCCTTATGTGGACAAAGGGAGAGGAGGGAGAGGAAGGAAGGAAGGAAGGAAGGAAGGAAGGAAGGAAGAAGTAACATTGCTCAACTGGAATTGGTCAGTTGGGTCCCCACTGGGGCAGATACTACTGCTCACATATTGTTGTTTGTCCTTTTTTTTTTTTGCGGGGTTAAGTGACTTGTCCAGGTCACACAGCTGGTAAGTGTCAAGTGTTTGGTCTGAGGCCGGATTTGAACTCAAGTCCTCCTGACTTCAGGGCCGGTGCTCTATCCACCTAGCTGCCCCCTCGTCCTTCGTTCTTGAAGAAGACCAATGACATTAGGAAGGTGATGTCTTGACTTTCAAGTGAATTGCATTAAAGTGAGACAGGGCTGTGCAAAATCGCCAGTCTCACTCTCTCCTTGGGAGCCATTTGGGTCCAGTGGCAAGATATAGATGAGGACATCAGAGATAGAGAACTTGGGGGTCAGTGGGACTTGGTTGGACTTCTGCTTCAGGCAGCGACTACCTGTGTGGCCAAGTGTCTTTAGCTGTCTGGCCTTTACTTTTCTCATCCATAAAACGAGGGAGTTTGAAATCCTCTTGAGGTCCACTAAGGTCCCTTCCAAAATCTATGACCAAAGGCTTGCACCTCACACTCTATCTCCTTGCTATGGACTGTATTGGACCGAGCACTTTGTAATGCTTGTTAATTTTTAAAAACCAAAGCAAATTAGGATATCAGAGCTGGAAGAGAACCTAGAAATCGCCTAATTCAATCTCTTCATTTTACAGAAGGAAAAACTGATGGACAGAGGGCTAACCTTCCTTAGCCAAGGCCACCCAGTGGGATTTATAGGAGGGCCAGGACTTGAACTTGGCCCACCCCTCTCCTTTTTCAGTCTCTTTTTTTTCTGCAGTACTGCACTGTTTTCTGCTATGTTATGGCAGATGTTGGCAGAGACACAGGGAGCCTGAGGGATGGAGTTTCTGAACCCCTCCTCTTAAAGATGCCTCAATAATGGTAGTGTGTCCTTGGCTGTAAGCAGCTGCAAACCCTAGGTCCATTCCTTCTCAGTCTTTCCCTAGACTGTGAGACCCCTGAGGATTGTGCATGATCCCTCCAGAGTAGAGCTGGGGTTTACACCTTCTCTATCATGTAGATAATCACTGAGTTGGAAGGGAGAAAGGACCTTAGAGGTTACCTAATTCAACCTGTTCTTGAGCCTTTCTGTATCATTAGAAGCCTCTCTATATCACTGTAACACAACTGACAAGTGAAAGGAAGGAAGGAAACAAATGCCTTCTATGTGCTCGGTATTTTACAGGCATTATCTTATTTAGTCCTCACAACAACCAATGGAGGCGGGTGCTATTATTATTCCCATTTTACAGTTGAGAAAACTGAGGAAGATGAAGGTTTAAAGTGACTTGCTCAAGGACTCACAGCTAGTGTCTGAGGCTAGATTTGAACTCAGGGCCTGGAGTCCAGAAGACTTGAGTTCAAATCTGGCCTCAGACACTTACTAGCTGTGTGGCCTTGGGCAAGTCACTTTACTTCTGTCTGCCTCAGTTTTCTCAACTGCAAAATTAGGATAATAATAGCAGTTGCCTCACAGGGATGTTGTACGGATCAAATAAAATATTCATAAATGTGTGTGGTGCCTAGCATGTAGTAGGCACTATATAAAGGCTTATTTCCTTCCACCCCTCCCCACCAGAGTTTATTGAGCAGAGTGGTCAGATGGTCAGATCTATGCTTAAGGAAGATCACTGCACTCAATTCAGGAGGACCTGAGTTCAAATCCGGCCTCAGACACATAACACTTACTAGCTGTGTGACCCTGGGCAAGTCACTTAACCCCATTGCCTAACCAAAAAAAAAAAAAAAGGAAATCACTTTGGCAGCTCTGTAGAGAATGTATTGGAGTGAACAGGGAGACCAATTCAGAAACTATTACAATATCTTCTTAAAAATCAGTTCCCAAAGGCAAGATAAAGAAGGCATGGTTAGACAGATGTTAATTTGACTAATTGATTAATTTTGAAAAGATCTGGGAGTTTTAGAGGACTGTAAAATCAATTTGAGTCAATTGCTGGATAGGGCAGCTGAAAAACTTAATGTAAATTGAAGACAAGCATGACATCTAAGACCTGGGAGGTGATATTCTGGTGCTATTGCAATGGTTTTTTTTTTTTTTGCAAGGCAATTGGGGTTAAATGACTTACCCAGAGTCATATAGCTAGTAAGTATTATGTGGCTGAATTTGAACTCAGGTCCTCCTGACTCCAGGGCCAGTGCTCTATTTACTGTGCCACCTAGCTGCCCCTGCAATAGGTTCTTAATGGTAAGGCAAGAGGTAATGAGGTCCTGCACTAGAGGGATGGCTATTGTGGGTAGAAAGAAAAGGACAGATGTGAATGATGTTTGTTGCAGAGGTAGAAATGGCAAAGTTGAACACATGAATAGATATATGGAGTGAGTAAGTGTGAGGTGATGTAGATGACACTAAAGCTTTGAAACTGGGAGACTGCAAAGATGATGGCGGTGCTCTAGATGGTAGTAGGGAAGTTCTGAAGAGGGGTGTGTTTGGGAAGAAAGACAATGAGTTCCATTTTGGAAAAGCTGAATTTGAAATACTTATGAAATATCTGATTTGAAATGTGATATGGGATAAGAACACAGTAGAAACCAGGGCTTGATGCATAGAGCTGTATAGAGATGGAAGGAATGAAAGAGTCTCTCTTCCAATCACCACCCTTCAAATTCTTGAAGATAGAAAGGAAGGAAACATGCATTTATTAAGTGTCTACTATGTGCCAGGCACTGTGCTAAGTGCATTACAAATATTACATCATTTAATTTTCATAATGGCCCTGGGAAGTAGGTTCTATTATTATCCCCACTTTTTAATAGTTGAGGAAACAGAGGTTAAGTGATTTATTTGCTCAAGGTCACACAGCTAGTGTATAAGCTGGATTTGGTCTTCCTGACTTCTGGCCAAGAGCTCTATCCATTGTAGTATCCAGTTTCCTCTTGTTCTCTCTAAATCTTCTTTTCTCAATGTTAAACATCTTTAGCTCCTTCACCTTATCCTCATATGCCCTGATCTTGAGGCCCTTCATCTTCCTTGTTGCTTCCCTCAACTTGTCTTCAATTTGTTAAGGTCCTCCTGAAATCTGGCCCCCTACATTGAGCAGGCCAGTATATGGCAGTACCATCACTGACCCGGTCTTGGATATCCTGCTTCTCTCCATTCTGCTTCAATTTGTATTAACTTTTTCAGCTGCCATAGCCAATAGTTGACTTATATTGAGCTTGCGGCCCTCTGAAATCCCCAGATTTTTTCAAGACTAATCAATCAATCGGTCAAATCAACTTCTGTCTAAGCATGCCTTCCTCATCTTGCCTTTGGGAACTAATTTTTTGAATTCACATGAGACTTCACAATGATCCCAATTAAATTACTTTTTGATTTGATGGTCAAGATCATTTGGGACCCTGACTGTCATTCACATTGCTGGCTCTCCCTCCCAGCTTTGTGTCATCTGCAAAATTGCTGAGAATGCCACTCTGCCTTTATCCAAATCGTTGCTAAAGGCATTAAGTGGCACAGAGTAAACACAGATTTTCTGGGGTGTCTACGGGAGATGTTTTTGATGTTGAGCCATTCATGTCTTCTCTTTGCAGCTTGTCATTCAACCAATTTTGAAGCAACCTAATTGT